TAGATATATTAATCCTCTTTAATAGGGCTGAGCCCTAGGGCTTTAAGCTTTACCCTAAGGATTTTTTGCTAAAGGAGGGGTGATTATCTTAGATTATATAAGATCTTCTATAATAGATAAACTATTTATTTATTTTCTAATCTAGGAAGGGGGCCTATATAGATCTTTTTCTTAATAAAGCTATTAAGAAAGGCAGTAATAATATCTAATTAGTATATTTCCAGGTCAAATACTGTAATTAGAGCTAGGATAATCCTCAGGGATCTAGCTGTAAGTGTACTAGTGCGGGTTTCTAACTAATTAGGAGTCTATAAATCTTCTTAAATATATATCCAGACCTTGAATCTAGCCAGTTAATCTTTTTTATTAAATTTATAGGTCTATATCTATTTTAGTAGTAGAACTTCCTTATTCTTTATATCACATGTTGAATATATGATCCAGGTATCTAAGATATCTAATTAATTAAGTTCTATCTTTAAAGTTTAAATAAATTAAGATAAATAAAAGTGACTTATTAATCCTCTCTAGTTAGTAGATGATAGTAGAAGCTGGGATTTATTAATAATAGGGATTTCCTCTTTATTAATACAGTTGACTATTATTTAAATAGCTTAGAGAACTAGTCTCTTTTGGGAATAGTCTAGATTAAGTAATTTAGATCTCTATCTTTTTAATCCTCTGATTAGTTCTATATTAAGGAAATCGATTTTATTAAAAGTCTTTTAATTAATAGTAGAATTATTAATAAGGACCATGGGCAGTAAGGCAGATAGTGAGTCTTCAGGAGTAGAAGGTATATTACCAAGGACTATATCCTCCAAGGGTTCTGTATGGTTATATGATTCCCCTGGGTCATGGGGTCCCTCTGGGTTATAAGATCCCTCTGAATCATATAATTTTATCTTAGAGATATCCTCGATTTCTGAGTTATCTAATAAAGATAGTTCTTGATTAATTAATTCAATATCTGACTGTTTAATTTAGATTGAATTAATTATCTGGGTAAGCTATTGTTTTGTTAATATACTTTCTAATTCAGAAGTTTATTTATAGTTAGACCCTTTATCAAACATGATATTATATATAGATATTACTTAATTAAGGGTAGGGATCTATATTTACTAGATATTTAAAGCTCTATATTTAATAAGAAATCTAATAAGAACTCTAGGCTCTAGTTTATTCTCTTTTAGTAGATTACTGATCTGGGTGTAGATATATAATCTATACTTCTTTAAATAGAAAAGATCTGATTTCTCTAGTAACTATAAGGATTGTTGTAGAAGGCTTTTCTAGACAGTTCTATAGGGGGTTTTTTAATCAAGTTGTTTATTTGGTATTCTATTTAGGATATATATAGCCGTTTCCATGGTTTCAGGCTAAATAAATAGTGGCAGGCCTGAATTAATTAATAGAAATCTTATTTTAGAAGTAATTAGGGCTCTAGCTCTTTTAGAGAAAGGATTCTACTTAGACTAGTGTAGTGAATCGCCTGAGGCGATAACCTTCCAGCATGGAAGGTGGTGGTTCTGCCAGACGGTTCCGCCTTTGGCGGATATCTCGTGGTTCCGCCCCGTTGATTCTAAGGATATCATCATCATCATCATCAATCAATTCAATCATGAGAACCCCTCGCCATTTTTGACATATGGTAGCATGTCCCGGTTATCCAGAACGTGATATACGCTACTGAGGTCTATACCGGTAAAATCATCATATCCTGACTTCCTACATCGTCTCTTATCTCCTGTCTCGTCGTTTACTGGGTCATCCGTATCAACTTCCTGGTATCCGTGTCGCCGATCGCGAGGCATCCGCGTTCTGGTGTTCTGCCTGTCGCTACCGCTTTCCTCACCGTCATTGTGGATCACTTGACATCTTGACCCTTACCCTGATTCGCTTGGTGGTCATCTGACCCACATACCGTCTTGTCCTTGCCGAATCACCGCCATCCCGTCTCACCCATCTACCACCAACATCCTGTTCTAGACCGTTCGGTCTAATCCTTAAGTTCCTGTCCAATCATCTACTATATTCGTGTATCGTCATCTTGACTGCTTCATGACGATCTTGGCGTCCGTATATCAGAATTAGGACACCAAGTCGTTCAGTTCTATACGTATTCAGAAAGCCCCTTACACCTGCGTCTAGACGCCGATACACTCCAAAGAGCACATTATCTCGCTTCAATTACCGCACCTCCTGCATCTCAAAAGACACGATTGTATCCCCAAGCGTGGGACATCGATAAAAGCGTCCTGCATAAAGACGTCCGTGCCTTTCTCACGTCCACCGATCCTATCGCTACCAGTGCAGCGTATCATGAGTGGTTAAGCAGTTCATATCACTGGAGTCTACCGTCATCTCATATCGAGCCTATCCGTCCGCTCAGTCGTGTCCGATCACAGTCATCCACTCAAGCATCATCCAAGAAAACATCTCGTGTCCCTACGCCCGAACCTCCCACTATACCCACTACCGTTCCTGTCGAAACCCTCAGCACTCCTGTCGCTCCTACGCCAAGCACAATCACTGAGCCTTCTGCACCAGAAGACATTCAGATCGTCACACCGGAGCAAGCTATTTCTGATCCTGTTACACCTACACCACGAACGTCTCGGCAAGGTGATCTATCAGTGCCAATTCTTGAGGATCGTACGGCTCCCTCACTTCTTGGTCTCAGATATTCACTACGTCTGCGTTCGTCTGCACCATCTCTCGTTGCTTCGCCGTCTGGCACCTTCCCGAATCTCAGTGAATTACAGCCATTATCATTTGGACATTCACTGCCATCCGAAGACATTCATACACCCGCTGCTACGTCCGACTTCCCTACGTCCAGCTCGCCGCAAGACATTGAGCTTCCGGATGTCGACACGCCCCAAAACGTCTTAGAACATCTACATATTACTAAACCCTCTGTTACGAAGCGCAAGAAGTCTCGTCGTGCTGACGCCCTCGATATGTCGGCCCACAGAGCGTCTGGCTCAGGTCGTGGTGGTAATACTTCGGGCATTGGAAGAAGCAATACTGGTAGTAGTCATCATGGTCCTATTCCAGAAAACATCACAAATACCCTAGACACCCCCGGTAATAATAACAACAACGACATCCCTGCAGACATTAGGACCAATCCAGCTCCTACAGCATTAGAAAAGACACTCACAGCTATCCTCAATCGTCTCGATAAGGTCGATTCTCGCGTAGACAAGATATCCAGAAGACAGAAGGAAGCAGAGAAGCAGAAAAAGTCATCTCGTCCTAGACGAACGAGAAGTGACCCTCCAGACCCTGACTCTAGCGATGATGATTCATCGGACCACTCATCTCATCCTTATTCGGATCGTGCACCGTCCGTACGTTCTGATCGAGCCCCGTCAGATCACTCTGAACATCCTTCTGAGCGACGTTCCGTTCGTTCTGCTCGAAATATCGATGCAGCCAAAACGACCTACGTCAAAGATCTTAAACCGGAAGAGATCGGATTCTTTCATCCTGACATGAATTGTAAAGAAGCCATGAAACAGCTAGGAAAGGAGATATACTACAAGGATGTCAATGCGTTTGTTGATAGAGTGAAGGATGTAGTCCAGTATCGAGGTGAACCTGCGGTCAAGTCTAACCTACAAGCATGCATGCGTGGTACTGCTTTGCAGTGGTACACGTCTGGTCTCACTGACCGCGAGAAACATCTCATGGCTCGACTGTCTCTCAAAGACAGTTGGCTCACTGAGCTTAAGAAGCGTTTCAAACCTAATCCATATACCGCCATGTCCAAGCTCAGTACGTTGTTCTACGGCATGTCTGACGTCCAAGCGGGTCGTCATGTAGGACAATTCGCACAAGAGGTTATTCGACATTCCCGTGCTGCGCACATGAACGATCCCTTTAATCAATTGATATACATATGGGACCGTCTGGATCCTCGTCTTCGTGCACAGCTAACTCGTCCGACTCAACACACCACAGTAGGCGAATTCCTCGAGCAGCTAGACGAGCAGCAACATGACTGGGAAGCGCTAGTGCGCATCACCCGAAACGAAAACAAGCGTGGTAACGTACCCCATAACCAAGGATTTCGTGACAATCGTGACTCCCATAGTCAAGGACAAGGACAAGGATACCGCAATGCCCAGGGACCCCAGAACAACTTCAGGACTAACGAAAGACGTGATTTCAGGAAGCCGTGGAAACCCCAGAACCGTCTTCGGGATTACCAAAACCAGGGGCAATATCGCCCGTGGCAGAACCAGCCAAATCAGCCGAATCAGCAGAACCAGCAGTGGCAGCCCAGACCTTTCGTACCTTACGAAGCCCGTCCCGGTCAAGGCGTTACCCAACAGACCGTGGTAAACCCACCTCAAGACGGTCGACTACAAGACAACCGACGACCATGGAATCGCAACAACCAGGGAGGAAGACAATACCAATTCCATAATACCACACCGCAATCTTACCAAAGACAGGATAACACCCGACAGCAAGGTCGCTTCGCAAACGCACATATTGCGAATACCGCTGTCACCAATCCATCCTTGCCTATAGAAAAGGCATATCGCGCTCAAGACGAACATTCTCAAGACACTCAGTACACTACGAATCCCTATACCGACCATCATCTAAATGACGTCGACTACACCGATTATCCTCCTGATACTGAGGAATACGACTATAATCGACCGGATGATAAGGGATACTATGAAGATTGCAATGAGTACGACGATGAATATGCGAATGATGCGTATGTTGCACATGCCGAGGACGGCAATATTTTGTCCGACCCCGTACAGGTCACCAAGGACGAATTTTCTGTTCAGTGTCATAACTGCTACGTGTCTTTCCCATCTAAGAATCGTCTGCATGCACATCTCGCAATCTGTGAAAGCAGACCACCCGAACTGGTTCCTGAGAAGCATCCATTAGCAGTCAATACGTCTGACATTATCAAATCCGACCATTACCAAGTTGAAGCCATAGAGCAGCCATTACACACATGACGTGCTGTATCTGCTATGATTGGTCTCAATACAACCGAGAAATACACATCCGTCTGTCTTGACACCGGATGCTCCGCTACTATCATAAATACAGATCTTGCTAGATCGTTAGGAACAGAAATACACCATACCGAAGCACCCCTCAACGTCTCTGGCATTGGTTCAAGACATCAAGCAACAGAATACACTATGTTTAAGGTGTACATCCCAAGACAACTACATGAAGATCGCCTAGTACAATCGTATGGTCATCCGTCATATGCCGCCGTGACCATCAAGGCCTATTTGGTCGAAAATCTTCGTCCAAATCTGTTGATAGGCACAGACACTATAGGACGAGAAGGAATCATCCTAGATTATAAACGACAGACCACATCTATTCGTGGTTGTCAGAATTTCGTCTTTCCTATTCAAACTCAAGTTAAACCTAATCGCATCAATACCCCTGTATACACAAAGCATGCTGTCATTGTGCCTCCTCATTCCCGTGTCTCGGTACCTATCCGCGTTAACGCAAACCTCGCTGACACCGATTATATCTTTCTACCTAAAGACAATACCGGTGTATCCATCTATACACATTTGGTTGATGCCTCTTTCTCGTTTGTCGAGGCAGTCAACAAAACGTCCGCTCCAGTCACTGTCAGTCGCCGTGCCCGTGTTAGTATCTTGACCAACAACGACTTTGTAACCGCGTATCGTGTTGACGCCGACGTCGCTGAGTTGGGACGTTCTCGTGCTCATACTGAAGATAATCCCTATATTCCGCCGCATCCGAAAGACAATCATGTGTCTAGCAGTTCGTACCGTCGCTATGTCTCAGAAGTCTTAGCATATGCCACCGATTTGTCTTCCGAGAACAAGAGTATGCCTAAGATGGGAATGTCCGAGCGTCCATCCCAGCCGATTCGTGTTCATATTCCTGACACGAAGGTCAACGTATCCAAATTATCTAATGGAATAACTATCTATGGGGATGATGACACTGTCCGCCGTCTCGAGTCCGTTCTCATATCTCATGATGTTTGGGCTAATCCTAATAGCTCCAATATCGGTATAGCCAATATTCCTGAAGATGAGTAGATGCAAATACCTCTCAAGGAAGATTGGGAAGAACGCATACCCAAAGCTCGTGTATATCGAGTTCCTCAAAAGGATCGAGAAGTGATAGACGCAACGTTTGACCCTCTCCACGCCGCTGGGAAGATGTCGTACGCCAAAACGCATACACCTTCGTCTTACCCGGTGTTTGTCGTTTGGCATATGGTCAATGGTCAGCCGAAGGGTCGAGCAGTAGTTGATCTGCGTGGCATCAACAAGGAAACCGAACCAGACCACTATCCTGTCCCTCTTCAGGAAGAGATCCTCAAAATGCTTCTTGGCAAACATTTCATTACTGTTGTCGATGCTGTTCGTTGCTTCTATCAATGGCCAATTGCTCGCGAGCATCGAGGTCGTCTGGCGATAGTCACGCATCGTGGACAGGAAGTTTTCCATGTCTGCGTTATGGGTTTCATCAATTCAGTCCCCTATGTCCAGCGTCAGATGGACCTAAATCTGGCTGAATTTCGTGAATTCTGTCGTACATACATTGACGATATTGTCATTGCGTCTGTGACTTTAGAAGAGCATCTTAGACACCTTGACATCGTGCTTAGTCGCTTAGAACGACTTAACCTGAAGCTGGAGCCAACCAAAGCTTTCGTTGGTTTTCCATCCATCACCCTCCTGGGACAGAGAGTCGATGGTCTTGGTCTAAGCACTCCAGATGATAAGCTACAAGCCATCAAAGGATTGTCATTCCCTAAGACCCTTGCCGAGCTAGATCACTTTCTCGGATTAACCGGTTGGCTTCGTCATTACGTCTCTCGATATTCTCAGAAGGCGTCCGTCTTGCAGGAACGAAAGACGCTGCTTCTGAAGGACTGTCCTGGCAGCAGACAAGACTATGCGTCTCGTACTACCTTTGTTGGAACTCCGGAAGAACATCAAGCATTTGAGACGTTGCAGCGTGAGTTCGCTGATCCCAAGAAGCTCGTCCATCACGATCCCAAGAGACAGCTGTACATCGATCTTGATGCGTGTCGCAATGGTCATGGAGTCATGGTCTACCATATTAGCGAAGACGGACCTGAACACAAGGACCTAAGCAAGCCGCCCGCAAGGACACGCGTGCAACCTATCCTGTTTCTAAGTCGGACGTTGACCCCTGCAGAACGAAACTACTGGCCTACTGAGCTGGAAGTCTCATGTCTTATATGGGCGCTTCGCAAGCTGCGACATATGGTGCAAGCTGCGCCTCCGTCTCTTCCTCCTGTCGTCTATACCGATCATTCCAGTACCGTCGCGATTTCCAAGCAGACCACATTCAATACCGTGGCCGTGGAACGCCTGAATCTTCGCTTGGCGCGAGCATCTCAGTATATCCAGCAGTACAACCTTCGTGTCTTCCATCGCTCGGGAACAACAAACACTGTAGCCGACGCATTATCGAGATTGCCACATTCAAAAGGCGTCCCGTACACTCTGCCGTCTGAAGAGCATGACCTCGAAGACACTCCTGTCAACGCGTTCGTCTCATACAGACCGTCTCGCGTCAAAGTGTCTGCGTATACCAGTTCATCCATCAATACCTACACCCTTGAGCTAGACGAGAATTTCGTGAGGCGTATTCGAGAAGGATATGCGTCTGACTCGAGAGCATCCGCAATTATCAGTATTTTGGAGTCTGACCGTGATGCCGCCCTACCGTACTTCATGGACAATGGATTGCTGTATATGACCAGATACGTCGCTCACAGCAAAAGCAATGGAACTGCGGTACCCGACCCATCCAAAGACGATGTCGAGGACGACGATGTCATTGTCGAAGAGCCATGGCTATATCTGCCTCATTCAGTAGTACCGGAAGTCTTCAAAGCTATTCATGACGACCGCAATCACCAAGGCATAGATAAATACTATGCAGAACTCACTGGTTTAGTCATCTACCAAGCAAGAAAGCTCCTTAATGACTACATTACTCATTGCCCCGATTGTCTCAATAATCGCGTGCGCAAGCATCGTCCGTATGGGCAACTTCAGCCTATCCCTGCTCCCGCCATTCCGTTCCACACACTGACTATGGATTTCATTGTCGCGCTTCCTGAGTCGTCTGGATGTGACCAGCTTCTCGTCATAGTCGATAAGTTCACCAAGCGTCTTAGTCTATTACCAGGTAGATTGAAGTAGACCGCATCTCAATGGGGAGTCGCTCTTATAGACTATATACAAGCACATGATTGGGGTATGCCCCGATGTTTCATTTCTGATCGAGACAGCCGGTTCATGTCGTCATTCTGGAAGGGTATGTTCGAGCGAATGCATGTCCGATGGTTTTATTCCACAGCCGCACACCCGCAGACCAATGGTCAAAGCAAACGTGTCATCCAAACTGTTGAAGTCATGATACGCCATGGTACTACACAAGACATTTCGAACTGGATCACCCTTCTACCCAGCATCATCGCGACCGTCAATTCTTCGCCTAGTGCAAGCACCGGACAGTCGCCTCACCGTCTGATGTTCGGCATGTCCTTGAGACAGCCCTGGTCAATGGTAAAATCCTTGCTACGACGTGCTAAACGTCCTGAGACATTCATCACTGACCCCGTCTTGCCGAAAGACACCCCATCTACCGCTTCGAGCTATCCTCGTGTGGAAGTAGTGATTTCGTCTCGTGGTAAGCAGAAGGAACATACAAATATGGCTGACCAAGATTTCTCTATTCAATATGACGCGGAGGAAGCACTCAAGTATGCCGCTATACACATGAAGCGTGGCTATGACGCCCGTCATGTCCCGATTAGTTTCCATCCTGGTGACATGGTTTATTTGCGTCTGCATAAAGGCTATACGCTTCCTGCCGTCCCAGGACACACCAAGAAGAAGTTGTCTCAGCAGTACGCCGGACCGTTCAAGGTCATCGAAGCCGTTGGACAACATGCGTACCGTCTCGCGCTGCCCGACTCGTGGCGTATTCACCCAGTCGTGTCTGTCGCACAGTTGGAACCCGCGCCCGCCGGTCCTGATCCCTTTGGTCGAATCCTCGCTAAGCCGCCCAAGGTCGTTGATGAGCATTTCCCTGATGAAGACAGATGGGAAGTGTCTGAGATTCGTGACAAGCGAACTATCTTCCGTGGTCGCTACCGAACCCCCGTTTTGCAATATCTCGTCCGCTGGAAGGGGTACGGCCCTGAAGATGACATGTGGATCCGCGCGTCTGACATTGCTGCGGATGAGTTGATCAAGGAATACGAAGCCCGTCAGTCCTGACGTCTGTTCTACCTTCTTCCATGAGCATGTTGTGCCTCCCAGGTTGTCACCATCACCGAATACTGCATATGACCATTATGATGACTAACGTCTGCTGTCTTTGATCATTCATCTTATCCATTTATTATGTACATAACTTAGCGAGGGCGCCAAGGTCATAAAGACCGGCAAATATAGTGAATCGCCTGAGGCGATAACCTTCCAGCATGGAAGGTGGTGGTTCTGCCAGACGGTTCCGCCTTTGGCGGATATCTCGTGGTTCCGCCCCGTTGATTCTAAGGATATCATCATCATCATCATCAATCAATTCAATCATGAGAACCCCTCGCCATTTTTGACACTAGTGTATAGATAAATAATTAATAATCATCCCCTTGGAGCTAGCCTAAATTAGGAAGATATTAAGATTTCTATTCTAATCTAAATAAAATCACTTGGGCATGGTCCTATATTGATTAATTATATAAATAATTATATTAATAATTGACTGTGAGATATTTAATTTAAAAGTTAGAACTTACTCTAAGTAAAATTTTAAATAGAAATAATAGAGATAACTAATATATCTCTATTTATTCTATATAGTGGTTATATAAATCAAGTCCTAATGTAGGGTTTTAAAGGACTTGGTGCCTGGGTTGATTTTCTATCTTAAAATCTAATAATTTGATTAGCTGATTCGGCAGGTAGGGTATTTCTGGATTAGTTCTAACTTAATATTAGTTAATTAAATACTCTGAGTCTTTTAACTAAGATATCTTAGGACTTCTTCTTCTGGATATCCTAATCTATTATACTATTCTTTCATAGTTCTATTTAAAATATAAGGCTTTTTAGATGTTCTAATTGGCTGTTTAATTATTAAATTAAGAGTTATTAAGAATTTAACTAATTATTCCTATTAAATAAAATATAGCCTATAAATTAGCTTAATATAATAGACTGGGGTTCTATTAGCTGTTTCTAAAAGAATATGTTTTCTATTATAGAATAGTTCGGTTTCCTGAGCCTTCCAGCCTGATATAATATTATAGTAGAATCCAGGAATAAAGATAATATTCTTTAATTTAAAAATAATACTATTCCCCTTTAGGTAG